AATCTCCAGTGAGGATTTTGCGGGGTCTGTCCACTTGTGCAATTAGTTGTATAAACATACGGAGATTGTCTTTAACTTAGGACTTCATACGGTGATAAAGATATCTGTTTCTTTTATCCTCTCATCCTTTATTCGTTGACTTCGTTCATTCATCAAGAATTTATTCAGCAAGTATGCAGAGCTCCTACCATGTGTCGGGCACAATGCTGGTCATTGGTGGGACACAGCAAACAAGACAAGGATGTTCGTGGTCTTTGTTCACATAGCACTTACACCCTAGTGAAGGGAGATATATGATAAGCAAACAAATAAAGGAGCAAGACCATTTTTATAGTGATAAGTGCTATAAATAGAATGCAACAGGGTCTTGTGGTAGCGAATGACAAAATGTCTGAAGTATCAGACTTCTTGATAAGATGTTTGGGAAAAAAAAGCCTTTCTAAAAATGTAATATTTAAGATGGGAGCTGATGGAGCAGGAAGCAGCTATGTGAAGTTCTGTAGATATTAAGGTCCTGAGCAGGATTTTCAATTTGACATGATAAAGAACAGAACAATGGCTTGAGGGACAAGAGATGCACCCCCCTCCCCCCCCCCCCCGGAGCCGCTAGCCATGTGAAGCTATTAAATTTTAAATTAATTTAAAAAGTACATAAAAACTCAGTTCCTCAGTGGCACTGTGTTTCAAGTTTCATGTGACTGGTGGCTACCATATTTGACAGTACAGAGTATAGTTTCATCATTGAAGAACTTTCTGATGGACAGTGTTGCACTTGTGCAGTAGGAGAATTAGAATAGGAGAGGTCACCGAAGAGTGGTTTGCAAAGATCATGAAGGCCCCTATAGGTGGCCATGAGAACTGCAAGTTTGATGAGCCACCTTGAGATGGTTTTAAACGAGGAGTGACATCATTTGACTTACATTTTAAATTCTCACTCTGGCTGCTGTGTAGAAAATGAATGGTAGCAGAGCAAGACCTGTTAGAAAGTTAAGTTATTGCAATTGTCCTGGCCAGAGATGTCTAGATAAAAAATCATGTGTTTAGACACATGTGTTTGGTGGGTTATTATGAGACATGGTGAAAAGCAGATGGATTCAAGATATATCTTAGATAGAATAAAAAAGACTTGCTATGGGATTGGAAGTAAAGTGAGGTAAATAAAAGAAGGAATTGAGGGCATTACCGTCTTTTGGGGCCTGAGCAACTAGATAGGTGGTTATGTTTTTTCCTGAGGTGGGAGGACTGAGGACAAATAGTTTGGGTACGTGGGGCTTGGTGAAAGGACAGGGAAGGAGTTGGAAGTAAGAGTTTTGTTTTGCAAAATTATATTCTAGATACCCATTTGATATATGTGCAGAGAGGTCAGGTAGGTAGTAGGGAATGAGTAAACCCCTGCTACAGAGTATAAACTTTTAAAATTTAACAGAATTCCCTTGAGCATAACTATATTTGGCAAATGATATGCAACAGGGTTGATTTCTAGATCCTCTTCACAAAGTACTAATGGACACCGCTGCCGGATTTGGCTAAGTAGAGAGCTTTACCAAGTCAAATTTGAATTTTTCTTTCCATTTTCTGGAAAGTGGAATTATTATGTAAGGATACAAACATATATATATATATATGTTTGTATATATATGTTTGTGTGTGTGCGTCTGTGTATATATATATGTATATTTCGTTAGTCTCCCAAATAATGATAAATTGTTTTGTGTATGTGGAATCAGCATGCTTTTCACTTAAGAGTCTCATATACACATGAATTACTAATGTTATCAATGAGAAAAACTGATGTGATGGAGAACACATCAACGTATAGTAGGAAAGACTTGAATGCTACTTTCCTGTGTATACCACATTTTTCTTATCCTTTGGCTGTGTTGTCACTTTCTTGAATTAGGACTTATCGCTATTGGTAGAAAATGGGCAGTTTTATTACTCGGTGATTACTTGATGTGCACGTCATGTCTTGGGTCTTCATTTAATATAATCTACACGGTCTTTGTCACTTCTTTCAGTATGGTGCTCTTGGTGCTGTAGCTTTCTGCATCTCTCTTCTAATAAGAGTATTTGTTATTTTCGCTCATCTGCTTCCAGGTTCTGGATGGCAATGGGGGTAAAGGGAGTGATGGCATCTACCATCTTTCCTTCATGTGGGGCAAATAGCCTTCTGGTTGTGATTTTTGTTGAGAATGGGGAGAAAGCCAGATGCCAAGACATCACCTCTGTAACAACATTGAACACCTCAAGAGTGTCAGTTTAACAGCAAATCGAGTATTTTTATTTTGCTGTGTGAACAAATGCCATTCTTATTTTTTTTCTGTTACAATTTTGTAAAATGTCTACATTCCATCTCCTACAAATTCAGTTATGATTTTTTTTTCTCTAAAGAACTGAGATCATTGTGGGGAGTAAGGGACAGAAAATAGAAATATTCTAAAATTCCCCTCACTATGCCTTTCCTTCTAACCTTGATACATGCCATAGTTTTCATTTTAATATGCTATTTTTGATGCTGATGGATATTAGCATGATTTTCCAATCAACGTTTTTCACTCTGAACTATTCCAGGTAGGCTCTGGCATATGAATCATATATCGAAAAAGGAAACTCAGAAAAGTATGTGTGCATGCTAGGGGGCTCATTTGTCTTTGGCAAAGACATTGTTGCTTCTGTTTCCTTAATTATTAAACAGATGGTGCCCAGTGCCATTGACTAGCTGCCCAACTTGTGCTCCATATGATAGTACAGTTCTGGACATCTGATGGAGAGTTGTACATCATAGCTCCTCATATCCATTTATATCATAAATTAATATTAATACCTACCTCTAAGGAGAGCAGGCTGTTTTCCATGAAGCTAAGTTTAAGACTTCTGCCATCTTCCTCCCCTACCCCCAGGAATTAATTTTATCTCAGGTATGTCCTTTGGCTTTTCTTTATATTCATCTCTACACACAAAATATAGTGGCATACTGAACCAATTATCCAAATACTCCAGGCTAGAAACACACTTTAACCTGGAATGTCAAGATAATTAAGACCAAATTGTTTTATTATTATTATTAGTGAAGGCAAATGACATCTAAGGTACCCATATTAAACATGGATGAGAGTGGACTATCATACTCTTATGTTCTAAGTGTAAAAAGGAACTTGCTCCCAACATGGATGGATTTCTAAAAGCCTATTGAACAGATATTGAATGATTTTTCATACTCTGCCACAAAAGTTAGCTTTAAAATTTTTCTTTAGTTTCTCAAATACTACACTACTACAGTACATGAATGGTGCATCTTGTAAACATTCCTAACTAGGGTACTGATTTTTTTCTTACAAGCTTTCTTTATGGTAGACACACTTTTTCACAACCAGACACATCTTCTCAATGCTTTCCTGGTGTTAACCTACCTAGCCTCATCTCCCCCCTGAGATTTCTTTTAATTCCTTTCTGGTTTGACTATTTAGGCTTAATTTGGTAAACCTTCTTGAGGCTATGGTCACTTAATGTATTTACCGTCCACCATCAACAGCTGTTGCTAATACTCTCAGACCCTGGACTTTTTAAGTAACTATTTGTAACACAGGAATGCTCCCCCAGCCCTATTTAATAATGCTATTAGGGTCTTGGTAACTTGTTGAGATTTTCCATCATTTGGAACAATAGGAAATGCTTGCGTTCTCTGTTTCAAACAGACCTTCCAGTAGGAGCGGCTGAAGCATTTCAGTGCCACCTGAAATTGGTTTGCTTGTTGTAACTGACTTGAAAACTAAGAAGCATCTTTGAGTCACTGACAGTGGATGTGGCTGTCATTTTTAATGACAGAAGGAAGTATGTCGGTTTCCACTGCCTGCCATGTAGCCAAGGACAATCTTTTTTTCTTAGCGTCCTAGGGAGCTAAGCCTGAGGGTCAGCCACAGGCCCCCGCGACCCCGGCTTCGGTAAGCTGGGCGGAGGACCGGCCTCAGCAACCCTTTCTCCAGCGAGCTGGAAGTGCGGGACCCGCTCCGGGGAATGGAGCAAAGAGCTGAGAGCAGCGCCTCCTCTGGGGGGAGGAGGCGGGAGCTTGGCTGGGAAAGCTTTCCTAGGGAGTTGCCTTAAAGAAAGCAAGCAAGCTGAATTGCTGGTCACTCCAGTTGCCTGCTTCTTTATACAGTTTTAACCAGTCGTCTCCACTCGTTTCCCTTTTGCAAAACTGCAAATCACCACCTACATCGCACCAAAAAGAAGGGGAAAAAAAAGTAATTCTCATTCTCCCTTCTCACCCTCCCTTCCTCTCACCCTCCCTTCCTCTCCAGCTCGCTCGCTCTCCCTCCCTCCCTTCTTGCGGCTGCCGCTAGCCTCTCGGGCTGTGTCTCTTTCCGACGGGACTTAGCAACTTCTTGGTTATTTCTCAGCCTCATTTCCATTTTTTTCCCCCCACCCTTTGCCATGAGCTGGACCGACAGACGCAGGGGAGGCTTTGCTTTCTGCCCCGGGGAATGGCGGTTCGCTTCCTGGGGCCGTGCCGGGGAGGATCGGCCGAGGAGAAAGAAAGAGTGATAGAGAAAGAGCTGCAGGAAGGAAGAGAAGGGGCACCTCCGTCTGCCGCGGGCCCGGCGCGCAGCAACGCTGCGCCGAGTGGCGCCCGAGATGGCCCCGAGCTCGCCCTGCGCCCCCGGCTCCTCCAGCTTCTGCACCCCCCGTGCGCCGGACGCGTGGGGCAATCTCTAAAATCCTGAAGTAGCAAGAGACCCCGGAGGATAGAAATCGGGGGGTGGGGGTGGAGCACAATTTTTAAGAGTTTTTCAAAGAGCGAAAAGGAGGAAGTCTGATCGTTTCTGCGTGTGCTAGCTTTTAACTTGAAGGCGTCTCTTTGGAGCATCCAGGATTCTCCAGGAGTTATTGGAAAGCTGAAACTTGCGGTGGCTTGGGGGCCTGGGGAGAAGGAGGGATTCCGAGGGTGGGATTAGGGAGAGAGTGCGTGCGTGCATGTGTCGGGGTGGGGGCGTCCGGGGGACCTTGGGGATTCCGTGAGGAGGGCACACAATGGCAGTGCCCCGCGAGGCCGCGCGAGTCGGGGACAAGCCCGGCCACGGTGGGGTGTATCCAGCCCCCGCGGCGGGCCCGGACTGTCCCGCTGGCGCCGGCCCCGCACAGTCGCGGGACTCCGGCAGCCACGGCCGTTGGGGAGACCTGGTGCTGCAGCCGCTCCGGCGCTCCCGGAAACTTTCCTCAGCGCTGTGCGCGGGCTCCCTGTCCTTTCTGCTGGCCCTGCTGGTGAGGCTGGTGCGCGGGGAGATTGGCCGCGACCTGGAGCAGAGTAAGGAGGTGGCGGCGGCGGCGGAGGAAGCGGCCCCGGGAGCAGAAGGGGGCGTCTTCCCGGGGCTTCGGGGAGGTGCTCCTGGGGGCGGCGCGCCGCTCAGCCCCTGGCTGCAGCCCTCGGCGCTGCTCTTCAGTCTTCTGTGTGCCTTCTTCTGGATGGGCTTGTACCTCCTGCGCGCCGGGGTGCGCCTGCCTCTGGCCGTCGCACTGCTCGCCGCCTGCTGCGGGGGGGAAGCGCTCGTCCAGATTGGGCTGGGCGTCGGGGAGGATCACTTACTCTCGCTCCCGGCCGCGGGGGTGGTGCTCAGCTGCTTGGCCGCCGCGACATGGCTGGTGCTGAGGCTGAGGCTGGGCGTCCTCATGATCGCCTTGACTAGCGCGGTCAGGACCGTGTCCCTCATTTCCTTAGAGAGGTTCAAGGTCGCCTGGAGACCATACCTGGCGTACTTGGCCGGCGTGCTGGGGCTCCTCCTGGCCAGGTACGTGGAGCAAATCTTGCCGCAGTCCGCGGGGGCGGCTCCGAGGGAGCACTTCGGGTCCCAGCAAATTGCTGGGACCAAGGAAGATATCCCAGTATTTAAGAGGAGGAGGCGGTCCAGCTCCGTGGTGTCCGCGGAGATGTCCGGCTGCGGCAGCAAGTCCCATCGGAGGACCTCCCTGCCCTGCATACCGAGGGAACAGGTAAGCACTGGCGAGCTCCTCTCACTCGCCTCTCGGGAAGACTTGAAACGCTGGGGATTCGCCACAAAGTGGAGGGAATCCGAGTGCTGGGAGCTAAAGGAAAGATAGTCTAGAAAAGTGGTGTAACTTCAGATTCAGTAGGAAACTAGAGAGTTATTTTCTGCGTCTCGCACGGTATTTTATAACCTGAACAACAGAAACAATAACAAGGAACAAAGCTAGATGGCATTTGCAGGGTCTTCCACACCTGGGCCAACTTTTTAGATCTGCTACACCTGGCATACGACTTCCATACGCTTAGGTGCACTCCTAGTTTTCTCCTTTAGCAGAAATCCTCCAGTTTAGCTTTTTAGCACTGGGTGATGTTTCAACACGTGGATTTTACTAGGTTTCTTTAATACTTTTTGTAAAGTTTCTTCTGAAGTGCCAAGTCAACGTCTATGGAAGTCAGTATATAGATTTTAAAGGAAAAGCAAGGAATGCTTGAAGGTGAGGTTCTGGTTTTGCAGTAAGTTTTCCTTGAAGAGGCTGCATCTGGTGGTGCCCAGCTTGTTTTTGGGGACATACGTTATTACATGCAAATGTGTTTTGTATCCTGATGATAAACTTCTATTTGGGGAACAATATGTCTGAACTGCGGAATTTGTCAGTCTTGAACTGCGCTGTTGGTGTCAACTAAAAAAAACCAAAACATTTCTCTTGAGTATATACTTAAGTGAATGTTTAGAAATTCAAATGGATTTATATAGATTATACAGGAAATGTTAATTCAAAAGAATAATTACAAGATTACTGGTGGTATAAATCTCTCAGAAAGGAAGAAGAGGAGGAATCTAGAATTATGAGTGAAGTTGTCCTAGAAAAAAGTTTAATGAATTTTGGGGATGAATCTCCTTATTAGCAATAAGCGTTTTAAGGCCATGGAATATAGTTGTTATAAAGGACATAAAAGAACAAATCCCAATTTTTAAATACAAATTGTTTCTCAAAAGGTGTACCTAAGTGTTTGCTTCTCTGCTCCAAACAGATATGACACTTGGGGGTGGGTGGGGGTTGTAGAGAGCTGATTATGTTCAGCAAGTGGAAATTTACACTTTTCCCATTTAAATTTATGCCTATCTATGGCCCTATTAGGACAACTTCAGTGAGTGGGAGAATGTCCTAAGATATAGTAAGCTTTTTTCTTTCTTTCTTTCTTTCTTTCTTTCTTTCTTTCTTTCTTTCTTTCTTTCTTTCTTTCTTTCTTTCTTTCTTTCTTTTCTTTCTTCTTTCTTTAGGTTATTCTGTGGAGAATCATTTAGATATTTCTAAGACATAGCAGTCACCATATGGTGTGGTGGTTAGTTTGTTTTTGAAATGGAGTTGATTACACGGAATGTAGTTGTTTGACATTATTTAACAGAATGACAGCATCATAGCCTCTGTGTTTATTTTAAAACTAATGTACTTATTTAGCTTTTTGTTTAGATAAAGCAAATATTTCTTGGGTATAAGCTTACTCTAAGAGTGACGTTAAAAACAGGCCACTGACTGATACTTAGTTTTGGTAGAAATTTGGAAATCACCAGAATAAAGCTATCTATTGAAGGGTAAACCCATAAGGGGGAAAACACAGTTTACTTTCTTTTCAAAGTTTCAGGAGAGAATGTCTTTTTAAATGAAAACACTGCTGGTTTAATTATGTTTAGAACACTTTAACTTAAAAGGGAATGTGATATGATCACTGCAAAGTTGAACCATAATTTGTAAGGCAAATCTGTGATTTAATCATAAATAACTTCAAATTAATATCATTTAGCCTCCTAAATTTCTGAAATTCCATGTAACTTTTAGAAGTTAAGGACTTAAAGGTGGATTTAAGATAAAGTGTTTAGGTGAGTTAACCAGTGTTAATTAATCTGCAGATATTTATTGGTTTTCTCTGGTTTGGATCGATAAATGGAGAAGTCAGATAATCTGCAGATTTATAAGAAAGTCACCGAGCATTGCATTTTTAAATGTTTTGCTGATTAATGCTGTTGAAAATGCACATTTGTAATTTTTTTGGCCATTTTTTTTGGTCACTATTTTTTTTTTAAAGGCTGTGTTTATGAAGAATGTTCTAAAGTGAGAGACGGTATCTCTTATGGTTGATGGAAAAACAAGGTTACATTTAGCGGAAATTTAGATCCTTGAAGTTTTAATGAGGGCATCGGTTAGCATGTGTGTGTGTGTGTGTGTGTGTGTTACTTAAGACCGGTTTTTATATATGGCCCATTAAAGTTGTTGCTGAGTATAATTGTGTTGGGGGGGGGGTGGGAACTAACATGGACTAGTCTCTTATAAGATAGGGCAGTATCTCATACGTTAGCCTAACTGTGTGAAAAGTTGAGGAGCTATATAGTAAATATCTTATCTGGTTTATCATAAGGAAACAAACTTCTGGGTAAGAGTGCAAAGGGTACACTCTCATCTACATACTTTATGAAGTCAAGAATCAAAATACTTATAAAACACGTATATAACCCTGCCCTGCATGCTACCTGATTAGGAGTTCTTTTATGAAAGATTGCCTACTTTCAATTCAAGACAATACTGAGGCAACAAGTGAATTTTAAATAGAGGTGGAAGGACTTAAATCACAGAAAGTCTGGCAGAGGCCTCTTGAGAATTTATGGACCTTGCTCATTGTGAGGTTTAAAGGTGAGAGAATTTCAGCCTTTTCTTCTCTGTGTGAACGATAGTGGCCACTTACAAACGACCTCTCTTCAACAACTCAATTCTAAAAGGTCAAGGAGAATAGGTGATAAAATTCTCATAAGAGAAAGCAACTGACAGAGATATTTGCCTCCCTTTTTGCCTTCCTTCCTAAATCATAGTGAAGTCTCTAGATTGGATATTGCGTATGGAGTGAGTTTTGCAGTGTGGACGATAAGGATGGCTTTCAGCAAAGAAAAAAGAAATAGGTCTAGTCTTCAGTCCCAGAATTCATCTGACCCTGGGTCTGTCTGTGAACGGAAGTGAATGTATCTTTACTCTTAGGAAAGAAAAATTTGTAATATCTGTATGGCTCTTAGTTGAGTAGTACCAGTCCAATATTCTCAAGACTCAGGCTGATTTTGTAGATCAGTGTGTCAAACTGTAGTTTTTATGGTGGGTGGACATGTCCATTAAGGTGTATGTATCTTTTCTAAGTAGATGTTCACATCCTAGAGTAGGTATGTCTCTCTCAAGTTATCACTATACCATCTAAACACTGGACTATACAGAGATACTTAGCATTTCTTGAATTATTAGATATTTTGTATGACTAATAGATATGTTATTTTTTAATTCAAAATTTTAATTATGCAGTTTTTACCATTTGGATATCGTATTTGAAGGGATGTCCCTATGCTCTTTGTACATCAAAGAACGCAATTGGCTGGTCATTCCTCACTAATTACTGTGAACCACCTTGCACATTCATCTTTGAAAGATTCCAAACCAATGCCGTTTTACTTTAGATACATGTTAAGAATTTAGTAGTTTTGCCTATGGTTTTGCATGAAGTAAACACAAGGTATAGGTCTCTCTCCATTAATGTGTTTGTCCCACTTAATGACAAAATTCTTTGTGATGGATACATTATCTGTCAGAAACATGCAGCTATACTTCGTATTGTGTAACTAAAAGTCAAAATGTTTTCCATAAATATTTCCCCAAAGCTCTTAATTAAACATCATTAGCAACCATAGATTTTTGTAGGAATGTAATGGAGTCTGATGGTTCGTTATCCATAGAATCGAGTTTTTCATCATTGATGTAAGAAAGGTATTTTCAAATGAAAAAGCAAATAACAATAAGACAAATATAAGAAATAGGAATGCTTTTTAATGGTAGACACATAATAGGCCTTGTTACATCTTCTATCTGAATAACTTACATTTGTACTATGGATATAAAATACAGAAGTATTTCTTTTGAAAGTAAAGAATCTATTGTCCTTAAGTTACTAAATACATTTCAGTATAACCTACTGTATTTCTCAAATTGAATAAATTTCAGAAACAATCACAGGTTTTTAATTCTATCACATTTCAGTAGTATAACTCAGCTTAAGGTGATACAAAGAATGATATATAGAACTTGCTGACAGAATTAAAATTAATGTCAACTTCTGAAAACACTAAAAAGAAAAAATTCTTATCCTTTGGGAAAGGTAAGGGAAAATAATTTGTGTGTGTGTGGGGACAAAATTGTGATTTTTTACTTTGTATATACAGATATTTAAAGCATACTGAAAAACTGTCTTAACTGACAGAAATAGTCAGTGAATCTATATAAATTTACAGAGGTTGGAAGGAGTCAAACAGTAATTTTACTCTTTCTGTATTGAGTCTAAAGTGTAAAAAGTTAAAACTGTAGAACTGAAAGAAATGCTGTGTATGCTGGGCTGTCATGTTAATTAAATAAACAACCAGAACAGTGACTCTGTGTATGAAATACATTCTGAAAAGCCTGGGCAGGGGGTGCAGGCAGGCTAAGGTGAGTGACACTGGCATGAAAAAGCATTCATTGTATCTGTAGTGACATTTGTGTGAATTTGTTGTATTCTATTAGGAAATAAAACTCTGAGAACAATCTTTGCAGGACTCTGGTTGAGTAAAGGCTTTACCAAATTTAATTTCACTCATTTAAATAGGATTGAAGCGGGATGTTTATGAACCTCAAAGTTAGAAATATTTCTGTATATTTTAAGATTTCAGTTAATAGGGTTGGTGCCAGGAACATCCCAATGGAGTCTATGTAGACTTCATCGAAAGCTTGTGTTACATAATCTATCAAAAGAATGAGTTTATCTTGGATTTAGGGCAGGAGTTGTATTTTTCAGGAAATATTGTTGTTGTGAGATGTAATCTCATGGATGTATGAAGGTAATCAATGCAACTGTTGTATCATGTGACATCCTAAGAGATTTTGACATGCAGACGCAGTGCCATTGCATAGGGCAAGTGTCTTTGGCTTCTTGAAATTACCCA